AATCCTTTGGTTGTTTGAAAACAATTTATTGTGACTTTTTAATATATTAAAATGTACTACATGTATAACGCTCGGATATAGTGCATATGCAAATAATACATTAGCCTTTATTACAATGAACTAATCTGTTTGGGTGTCTGTTGTAGTCTTAATATGCGACACTATTAAAGTTTTTTTGTTGTTTTTTGTTTTGTTTACTAAGGTTACTTACAATGATTTTCGTGCTTTTTTTGGAAAAATTTAGTTTTAAAAAGTTCAAATTGATTTTTCGACAGAGAGATAACCATGTACGTGGATGAATTACAATAAAAACCTAAACTTGTTTATCTGCAAGTTTTTGTTTTGGATTTAACCTTTCACTAAAAGTAGACTCCAGAACGTACTTATTCTACGTACGGTCAGTTATGCTCCTCTTTGGAATCCATGTTACAATATAAATGACTAACTGAAATAATACGATGAAAAGAATTGTTTTATCAACTCATTGGATTATACATTTTACACTTTACATTTTATCTTTTTCTGATAGCTGTCTTGTGAATTTTAGATTCTTGTTTAATAGCTACACCATTTGGTAAAAACAAAACAAAAAAAAAACACAGAAAATTGTAACCTTTTCCCATAGACGTCGTTTTGTTTCTTCAGGACCTCGCTTTGCCTTTATTGATATCCGAAATGCCAACGATGGGCCTAATCCGGCCAAAATTAGAAATGACATGTAAACTGTCTTCAACTCCTGATCACTGTAACTGTTATTCCAATCGAGCTGATTGCACTGTGAAGGTAATGTTAAGAATATATTGTGTCAGTATTTTTGTTGTTGTTGTTTAACAGATATTGTAAAAAAGATTTTATTGTGCTATTTTTCTTTGAGTTACTATACGAAGCAATGTTTATTAACTTTGCAGCACTTTGAGTTACTATACGAAGCAATGTTTATTAACTTTGCAGCACTTTGAGTTACTATACGAAGCAATGTTTATTAACTTTGCAGCACTTTTTCTTCCTTACGAAGTTTATATTTATATTTTGACTGCAGTGTAGACACGATGTTGAGAATTACCTTTTTTCAATTAAAAATGCAAATAGTGAAACGTAATTGGTGTATGAGAATGAAAACCATATTCTATTGAAAATAATTTCACGAAGGTCATACAAACATTGAATAGAATCATATAAATTTGAACTGTTTGTTATTATAGATATGGTAACACAAGAAAACTTTTGCTTTGTCTACCGAATTTATTCGATAATGAATTGAACAAACGTCTTGCTTGTAATAGTAACTGTATGGTTAATTATGCATACCTAAGAGATATTACTAATGCTATTGTTATTAACTGTATAATGGATAAATATGGAGAATGATAATTATTGGGATTTTCTTTTCATTGTTATCGCAGGTTATAGAGACATATTTTGTAACTGCTTTGAGTGCAGTGATTAAATTCTTAACTTCGCCGACTTCAACTAAATCTAATAAAACAACCTCTGCTTTGGAACAGGTAAGAAAGAAGAACTGAGATGAAATATCTGAGTTAATAGTACAGGGTAATATAGAGGCACACACACACACCCACGTATATATTGCACTTTTGGTCCATCCTACTTAGTGAGGAAATGATTTGATCACAAACTGAAATTTGGAAAAGAGAGGAATGTAAGTTAAAATTTCTAGCCCAAACATTTTCTCCTGCAGTAAATATTAATAATATATTTAATTAAATAAACGCCACTAGTGAATATGTATACATTTAAATGGAGTAAAACGCTAAAATAATTATACAATAAATAATTTATTCAAACCAGTATTTGTTTTGTTTTGTTTACAATTAAGCACAAA